CGAGCAAGGAACAGGACCCCAGAGTCCCGGGAAGAATGACTTCTTTTGCGTGCAACAACAAGGAAGTCGCCATCTGCTCCATCCCGAAAAGGGGCGCCATGAAGGTAGTGCAGCGCGCGGAGTTCAACTTGTGCCGCGAGACCACGAGTTCTGCGACGACGTACACGGGCGTGCCTATGCGGCTTTACAGCGAGCTGCCGCGGATGACCTACGAGACGAAGGCCTCGATCCTGGGAAACGCAGCCGCTGGCGCGGTGAGAGGGAAGCGCGCGCAGAAATACATCGACGCGAACGGGCGCCCCTTCTCGCACTTGGAGGTGAAGCCATTGAGCTTTTGGCAACGGATTTGCGAGCACCACCACATCACGCACATCGTTGACTTCACGGCGGGGTCTGGCGGGTTGGCAATCGCAGCCTCTGGCGCGATGGAGTACGAGGGCGTGGCGGTCAACGAGGTGCACCGGGAGTGGCTCGACGCGACCTTGGACCGATGCGCGTTGCACATGGCGGGGCGTGACGAGAATTTCGCCCAAAAGCTCGGCGGCGACGACGGTTTTGTTGAGAAGGTAGAGAAGTATTTCGCGGGGACGATGATGGAGGCGCGGCGCTTGCTCGAACCAATCGCGGACGAGGAGGGCGGGGATGGGGAGAGCTCAGACCCAGATGAGGAGTAGGTCGCAGGCGCGCGATCGCGGGCGGGAAAACGACGCAGCCTCTGGCGCGCCGCTGTCGCGGGCTGGCCCTGACGCGGTGCCGAAATGTTGTGCTCGTCGCGACTCCAGTGCGTGAGCAGTTTTGGGGGGTGACGCCTCTGGCGCGCGAGGAAGCGTGCAAGACCTTCCAGCGCGGCGAAGTTTTGATGGGTAGACCAGTCTCCTGCCCGGAGGGGCAACTTCAGACGCGCCTTTGGACGCGCGCGGCGCTGTTGCGCAAGAGAGGAAATGTTCCGACCCCGCGCAGACGCAAGCCCATCCATTCGGCGCCGAAGGCCTTGCCGCCCAGAAGTAGGCCAGACGTCGCCTAGAATTAAGCCAGACCGCCCGTCAGACCAGGCCAAACCACCCATACGTAGACCAGACCCTGTGCACAAGTAGGGCAGACCCGCCCAAAAGTACACCAGACCAATCAAAAGTAGACCAGACCCCGCCCAAAAGTAGATCAGACCCCGCACAAAAGTAGATCAGACCACCCACAAGGAGACAAGACCCCGTCCAAAAGTATATCAAACCCCGCCCAAAAGTAGATCATACCGCCCACAAGGAGACCAGACCCCGCCCAAAAGTAGATCAGACCACCCACAAGGAGACCAGACCCCTTCCAAAAGTATATGAGACCCGCCCAAACGTAGACCAGACCACCCACAAGGACACCAGACCCCGTCCAAAAGTAGATCAGACCCCGCCCAAAAGGAGATCAGACCCAGCCCAAAAGTAGATCAGACCACCCATAAGGAGACCGGACCCCGCCCAAAAGTAGATCAGACCTCGCCCACACGTAGATCAGACCACCCACAAGGAGACCCAACCCCGCCCGAAGGTAGGCCAGACCCGTCCAAAAGTAAATCAGAATACCCATAACTAGACCAGACCCAGTCCACAAGTAGAGCAAACCCGCCCAAAAGTAGACCAGACCACCCAGAAGTAGACCAGACTCCGCCCAAAAATATATCATACCCCGCCCAAAAGTAGATCAGACCGCCCACACGGAGACCAGACCCCGTCCGCAAGTAGAGCAGACCCGCCTAACAGTAGACCAGCCTCCGCCCCAAAGTAGACCAGACCCCGCCCAAAAGTAGATCAGACCCCGCCCAAAAGTAGATCAGACCACCCACAAGGACACCAGACCCCGCCCAAAAGTAGATCAGACCCCGCACAGTGGAAACCAAAGAAGACAACCGGGCCGTTTCTGGAAACGAGAAAAGACAACCAGGCCGTTTCTGGAAACGAGGAAAGAAAACCGGGCCGTTTCTGGAAACGGGAAAAGACAACCGGGCCGTTCCTGGAAACGAGGTAAGAAAAATCGCCGTTTCTGCAACCGAGAGAAGAAAACCAGACCGTTTCTGGAAACGACGGAACAAAACTTGTGGTACCCCCACAAAGAAAGAATACATGTTGGGAATCCGAACATGTTTTCTTTCCTCGGTTGCGCAACCGAGGGGAGAAAACATGTTCGGATTTGGCATGTTGGCGAGAAAGTTGTGGGCTCTGTATTAGAATCCTTATAGGGCACACAACTTCCCGTTTTCAGAAACGGCCTGGTTTTCTTTCCTCGTTTCCAGAAACGGCTTGGTTTTCTTTTCTCGTTTCCAGAAACGGCCCGGTTGTCTTCTTTGGTTTCCACCTTGCGGGGTCTGATCTACTTTTGGGCGGGGTCTGGTGTCCTTGTGGGTGGTCTGATCTACTTTTGGGCGGGGTCTGATCTACTTTTGGGCGGGGTCTGGTCTACTTTGGGGCGGAGGCTGGTCTACTGTTAGGCGGGTCTGCTCTACTTGCGGACGGGGTCTGGTCTCCTTGTGGGCGGTCTGATTTACTTTTGGGCGGGGTATGATATACTTTTGGGCGGTGTCTGGTCTACTTCTGGGTGGTCTGGTCTACTTTTGGGCGCGTTTGCTCTACTTGTGGACTGGGTCTGGTCTAGTTATGGGTATTCTGATTTACTTTTGGAAGGGTCTGGGCTACCTTCGGGCGGGGTTGGGTCTCCTTGTGGGTGGTCTGATCTACGTTTGGGCGGGGTCTGATCTACTTTTGGGCGGGGTCCGGTCTCCTTATGGGTGGTCTGATCTACTTTTGGGCTGGGTCTGATCTCCTTTTGGGCGGGGTCTCATCTACTTTTGGACGGGGTCTGGTGTCCTTGTGGGTGGTCTGGTCTACGTTTGGGCGGGTCTCATATACTTTTGGAAGGGGTCTGGTCTCCTCGTTGGTAGTCTGATCTACTTTTGGGCGGGGTCTGGTCTCCTTGCGGGCGGTCTGATCTACTTTTGGGTGGGGTCTGATCTACTTGTGGGCGGGGTCTGGTCTATTTATGGGTGGTCGGATCTACTTTTGGGCGGGGTCTGATCTACTTTTGGGCGGGGTCTGGTCTACTTATGGGTGGTCTGGTCTACTGTTGGGCGGGTATGGTCTACTTTTTGGGCGGGGTCTGGTCTCCTCGTTGGTAATCTGTTCTACTTTTGGGCGGGGTCTGATCTACTTGTTGGGCGGGGTCTGGTCCATCTGATGGTGGTCTGATCTACTTTTGAGCGGGTCTGGTCTACTTTTGGGCGGGGTCTTCCCTCCTTGCGGGGTGGTATGATCTACTTTGGGGTGGGGTCTGATCTACTTTGGGGCAGGGTCTGGCCTCCTGGTGGTCTGATCTACTTGTGGGCGGGGTCTGATCTACTTTTGGGCGGGGTCTGGTTTTCTTATGTGTGGCCTGGTTTACGTTTGAGCGGTTTTGCTCTACTTGTGGACAGGGTCTGGTCTACTTATGGGTGGTCTGACTTTTTTGTTGGCGGGGGCTGGTCTTCTTTTGGGCGGGGCATTGTCTTCCCATGCTGTAGTATGCGATGCCATGCTATGCTTTGGTGTACTAGGCTATGTCGCTCTGTGCTATGCTATGGTGCCCTGTGCTATGCTGTCGTCGTAGTGTCAGGCTGCCCTGTGCTATGACGTGGTCGGTAGGTCATGGTGATGATAGGAAGTGTCGTGATATGCTATGCTACACGTTGCTATGATGTAGCTCTGGCCCCCCTCCCAACCACCTCCCTATCGCACGAAGGGGTGTCGTGTAGGTATATTGCACATTGTATGGGCCCGCCCGTCCTTGAAGACAGTCACTAACGTTTACCCGACGTACTAATTTCGCTGGGAGCTGGAGTGGATCTTGTTTGCCTTCTGGGATGCACTTTGTATCCCAAGGGGGGGCCACGTGTTCTCCCGCTCTTTCGCGAACGTGTGCAAGAACGGAGAGTCAGGACTTGATTGGAGGGGAGAGGGGAATGAGGAAGAGAGGAAAAGAGGGGAGGAGGAGGGGGATTAGTAGGAGGTGGAGGAGGATGTGGACCAGGCGGAGGAGGGACGAGGAGGAGGAGGGCCAGGAGGATGAGGAGGGGGAATAGGATGATGAGGACGAGGAGGAGGAGGAGGAGGAGGCGGCAGAGGAAATGGTATGCAATGCAAAGCCATGCTATGCAATGCAAAACCTTCCGATGCCATGGTGCGCTATGCGATGCGCATCGATGCGATGTTTTGCCATGCTATGCCGACGCGCTGCAATGCTATAGATCCACTTGTTCCCTCTCCCCCACAACCTCCGCATCGCCCGATGGGCGGTCGTGTGGTTTTTTTGGGGCACAATCTCGTGGACTTCAGAGTGCGGCTCGTGCCAGTCACGCAAGTTTGCACGCGCCTGGCACGCGAGGGGAGGGGGGAAGTGGGGGGGGGGGAGGAGGAGGCGTAGGAGGATTTCGAGGGCCCCCGGAGGGCCGTTCGTCGCCACGGCTGGACGCACCTCTGAAAATTGAGGCGTCTGGATCTTGGGAAGGCTCCGGGGACCGGTTTTGAGTAAGAAGGGGGGGGGGGGGGAAGAAGAGGCAGGGGGCAGCCGCTCTCCACGGTCCTCTCGGCCCAAGCCGCTCGTGCTGCAAGCGCCTTCGCTCGGCGCCAGAGCGGCTCGCGCAACCAGCCTCCAGCGGGATGTCGGAGGATCCATTCACTGAGCCCCAGCCTCTGGCGGGAGACTTGGCTGAGCCCCACCCTCGGGCGGGGCACTTGCGGGAGTGGCGCCGAGACAATCATCTCCGAGTCAGCGAGACCATTATTTTCGGGAATACCAGCGCGAAGCCGAACAAAAACGCACAACTGCCGTGGCATTACTACTCTGTCCAGCAACCGAGCGGGGGCTATCAGAAGAGGCTCGTGGTTCCTGTCCTCGTGAGGGCCCCAGCCTCTGGCGGGGCACCCCTTCCGAAGGGGGCGCCAGAGGAGGCGCGGTTGGAAACCAGAATCCGCAACGGCGTTTTGATGGAGCACTACGCGAGCATCCATCGGATCGGGGCCCTCTTGGACAGCCACCCGCTTGTATCCACCGTCACACAACACAAAGTCGAGAAGGCCCTCGACCCCAAGTACCTGGGCGAGGATGGCCGGGCTGAGAAATACCACCAGTCCCCTTGGGATTTGTCAGTCACGCTCGCAGCCTCTGGCGCGAAGTTCTATGTAGGGTGGACCACAAACGACATCAAGAAGCCGCTCGCTGCGATGTGGTGGCTGTTTGCAGGGAAGTCCGCCACGGCGGAGAACCTCGCCCACGCGGAGGCGATTTTTTTAGATGTCGCCGACGCCGCCCGTTCCTGGCCGCTCGGCTTTCTCCCTGAGGAGAGGGGGTCCGGGGCCGCTGCGAGCTCTTCTTCTGCCGGCGTCGCGCCCCAGCCTCTGGCGGCAACTGCAGCGCCGCCGACGGCGTGGCCCCAGCCTCCAGCGGGAGGTGCAGCGCCGCCGCCGGACGACGCCAGCGACAACGCGAACTCGCCGGCCCCGGACAACGCCCCTCCGGTCGAGCCTCTGGCGGGGGCGCCCGCCGCCGCGCCGGTGGCGCCCGCCGACGCGACCGGTGCGGCTTCCGCGCTGCTGACTGCGGCGAGCGGAGACGCTGGCGCTGCTGCTTGCGGCAAGCCTGCGGACAGGGCGCCAGGCGGCGACCAGCGCCGCGACAACCTCGAGGATTTCCAGCTCCAAGAAGTAACGCGCATTTCCGAGCAACAGTCGTGTGAAGTCCACGAGGTTGATTATGAGCCAGATGGGAATTCTGACCTTGCGTCGGAAGAGGGGGAGAAGGAGGGCGAGGCCGAGACCGGGCCGCAGCCGACCCCCCCCCCCAGGGCTGCCGCAGCACAGTGCGCCCCGCCGCTCGAGGTCGCGAGCGGGGCCTGCGCGTCCAGTCGACCCAGCCTCTGGCGGGGCGGACGGCGAGATCGACCTCGCCCAGCACGTGTCCTTCAAGAGACTGCAGCGGCTGACGCCGGAGCAGAAGGGGCGGCTTCGCCAGATTGTGCGCGCCAAAGAGAGGCAGATGCACTTCGGCGATTACTGGCAGGGAAGGGCCGGAGATCAGCTCAGCCTCTCGCGGGCGTCGGGTGCCCCTCGGGAGCCACCGGTGACGGCCAGGGCTCGCGACCAGCATCGGGCGCTGCTCCTCCAGGAATTGCAGGCGTACGCGGACCCGATCCCAGACGCTGAGGAGATCATCGCGGGAATCCCTTCCAAGAACGACAAGCGCCTCGGTGCCAACGAGGACGTCGTCACGGCCATCGCCAGCAGGAAGGTCCACTACATGTTCTTGCTGACAAAGCAGATGGAGGAGCATCCGGAGCCTGAGCGTCTGACCTTCTGCGAGGAGTGGCCGGACTTGAGCCCGGCCTCTGGCTGGTGGTGTGTGCTCCAGGCAGAGGATTGGCAGCAGCTCAAGCAGGAATGGCGGGGGCTGTCTCCAGCGAGGCCAAAGCCCAGTCCTCCCCCAGCAACGTCCTCTCCACCCATCCCCGCATCCCCCCACGCAGGAGGGGGTCGGCGAACGAGGAGGGAGAGGACGAGGAGGGGGAAGGGGAGGGAGAGGGCGAGGGCGAGGAGGGGGATGGGGGAGGGGGCGGCACCGTTGGAGACACCCGTCGCCACGACTGAGGACTTTCGCCTGCGCGACACGCGCGACTACGTCAAGCACATTTTGGCGATGCACGATGGCGAGTCCAGGCTTGTGCGCACAGAGTGGAAGCCCTTCCCAGCCTCTGGCGGGAGCATCCTTCAACCTTGCTACTGGCATTACCAATTCTCGCGCAGCTGGGACACATACTCGTGGCTCTCGCCCCGCAGAGGAGACTTCACCAACGAAGACGTGGACTGGATCATGAGAAAGGGCGGCGGCGAGACGGGCTTGATGAGGAGAGACCCAGCCTCTGGCGGGAACTGGCAGATCCGCCATGGCCAGTTCATCACGCTTGCCGAACTCTTTTGGTTCGGGAAAGACTTGTGCTCATGCTGCGATATCTACCGCGCTTACCTGGGCCTGCCTGTCTGGATCCAGAAGCGCAAGCATCCTGCCTCGCAGAATGCGGCGGGAACCATCAGGCGCAACGCGAAGTCGTTGCACTACCTGGATCACGGTAAGTACGGTTTGCCCCAGACGCCTTGGAAACGCGGGCGGCGTTGAGCACTTGCCCTCGGCGCCTTCGGTGCCGAGCCCAGCCTCTGGCGGGAATATTCTCGCTTATTTTCCGGTGCCACTGCCAGTTTAGGCGGATGTGCAGATTCCGCGTCCGAGCGACGCCGACGTTCCCTTTGAAATAAGCCTCCCTCGTCGTCGTCGTCCTCCCTTCCGCCTCCCTGCTGCATTATGCCTCATACTCTCCCCCCTGCTCCTGATGCTTATCCTTCTCCCTCGTGACGGCAAAGGCGCAGCCGAACCCAGCCTCTAGCGGGATGGAGGCCCGACGTGCGGGGAAAGCCCCAGGCAACCAGAAAAGGATTGCCTGCCGCGTCCTCCGGGGGACTTCGCTCCTGCATCACTTTCCCGTCCTCTGCCTGCCCCCCGGCTCTATTTGTCCCCTCCGTCTCGCTCTCCCCTCTCTGCCCCCACCCCGCCCCTGCTAGTCCTCGTCGTCGTCCTCCTGGAGGTCGACCTGGTCCCCAGTGGGAGTCTTCTGCCCCGAGCAACCAACGGGGAAAAGGGGGGGGGACGAGGGGGGGGGGGGGGGGCGGGAGGAGGAGGAGGAGGAGGAGGAGGAGGGCGGAGGAGGAGGAAGGGAGGGAGGAGGGGGAGGGGGGGGGGGGGAGGAGGAGGGGGGGGAGGAGGGGGAGGGGGGAGGAGGAGGGGGAGGGGAGGGAGGAGGAGGAAGGGGAGGGGAGGGGGATGGAGGAGGAGGGCGGGAGGGAGGGGGGCAGGGAGAGGAGGAGGAGCAGGGGGGAGGAGGAGGAGGAGGAGGAGGAGGAGGAGGAGGGGGAGGAGGAGGAGGAGGAGGAGGAGGCCGCGTACTGGGCGGCCTGGACGCAGGCGGCAGGCGAGGTGCAGCGCGGCCTCGGCGCCGCCTCGCTTGCAGACGCCCTGGAGACGCTCCCGCAGACGCGCGCGAAGCTCGAAGAGGCGCGCGCAGAGCTGGGGCGCCAGGGCGCCGAGCCCTCCCCAGGGGCCCCGCTAGCTGCTGCACTACGGGAGGAGACGCGACAGAAGACGGTCGTTGCGATTATCCACAAGACAACTCACGCTGCCGTCAAGCAGCGAGTGGATCTTCGCAGCAAGGCCACCTTGCTGTCTGCGGGCGGCCCTGGGGCAGGCGGCTTTTTGCAGTACCCGACGGAGCCCCTCTGCGCCCTGGAGGACGTTGACTGGAGCACCTCTCTGCGCCGCCGCCTGCAGCTGCCGCGGCCGGAGTGCTCGCTCGCGGAGCTGGCCCGGGCCTCTGCTACCTGCTGCAACCAGAGGGCGAGCGGCGCGACCTGCGCGGCCCCGCTGGACGAAGACGGCTACCACGCCTGCGCTTGCCAGACTGGCGGGGGCGTCGTGAGGCGCCACGGCGACTTGGAGAAGACGCTGGGGAGCTTGGCCGGGAGGTGGCGCCACTGCGTGCCCCTTTACGAACAACGAGTCCCTGCTTGGGATAGGCACCGCGCGCGGCGGCCAGCAGAAGGGCCCGGCCCGCCGGTCCTGGAACGCGCCGTGTTGGACCTCCAGTACGCGGAGGTGGACGGCTCCTGGTGGGTGGACGTGACGGTCCGCCACCCGGCGGCAGGCGACGAGACGGCGCTCCAGGCTGCGGCGCGACGGCCGGGAGAGGCTACGCGCAGGGCCGAGCGCGAGAAACACGAGACGTGACCCGGGCGAGCGGCTCACGGCTTTCGAGAGACACTGGGCGCTGAGGCGCGACAGCTGGCTGCTGGCGCGAGGTGCGCGAGCTGAGGCGCGACAGTGGCTGCTGGCGCAGGTGCGCGAGCTCCCCGAGGCGCAGCCCGGCGAGCTGGCGCGCGCCTACAAGGCGCTCAGCTGCGCGCTGCAGCGCCAGGTGGCGCGCCAGCTTCGGCGCGCCGCCGGGCTGCGCTGAGCGGGGAGGACTGCTGGGCCCGGGTAGGGGGCGGCGCCGGCGCTGGGCGTCGGCGCGGGGCTGCGGGGCGGGCAGCTGCTGACGCTGGGCTGAAGGCGGCTGCTACTGCTGCCGCTGCTGCGCGCGGACTGCTGCGCGCGGGGGCCGAAGGCCGGGGACGCGCGCTCGCCGGACAGGGCGGCGCGCGGCGCGGGGTGGAGGCCGGAGCGGGCGGCTGGCGGCGCTGCTGCCGGGCACTGCTGCGCTGCGGGCGGCGCCGGACGCGGGCGACCTGCGCTCGACGCCGGCTACATCTCGCTCTGGCTGCACGTCCTGGCCCCGGGTATGCCAGGGCTATAGGCCCCGGCTGGCGCAACCCCTCCCCGCCAGGGGCGGCCGCTGTTTGGACGCTGGGTCCTCGTGCTGGGCGTAAGGCGGCGGCTGCTCCTGGGGGGCCGGTGCGAAGCACTGGGGGGTTGCGCCGGCACCAATTCAAAGTGCGCTGGGACCGCGCGCCGCCGGGAGGAGGAGGAGGAGGATGGAAGAGGAGGAGGAAGGAGAAGAGGGAGGGGGATGGAGATAGGATGGATTGCATGCCGCAAAGTAGATCAGACGTCTCCGACCAGACCACGCCGAAAAGTAGACGATGCCACACGTCAAAGCAAGCCACGCCACCCGAAAGTAGACCAGACCCTGCCGACAGGTAGACCAGACCACCCAAAAGTAGATCAGACCCTGCCGACAGGTAGACCAGGCCACACAAAAGTAGACCAGACCCTGCCAAAAAGTAGACCAGACCCTGCCAAAACATGAACCAGACCGTGACTATACAGTAGACCAGACCCCGCCGAACAGTATACCACACCACCCATAAGCAAACCAATCCCTGCAAAAAAGTAAACCATTCCACCAACCAAAGCAAGCCTTCCCGCCCACAAGTAGACCAGACCCCGCCGAAAAGTAGACCAGACCACCCATCAAAATATGCATTCCCGCCCAAAAGGGCACCAGACCTTGCAACAAGTAGACCAGACCACTCGTCAAATCAAGCCACACCACCCAGAAGTAGACCAGACCCTGCCAAAAAGTAGACCCGACCACCCAAAAGTAGACCAGACCCTGCCAAAAAGTAGACCAGACCACCAAAAGTAGACGAGACTTTGGCAATAAGTATACCAGACCACCCAAAAGTAGACCACACGCTGCCAAGAAGTATACCAGACCACCCAACCGTAGAGGAGACACTGGCCAATAGTAGACCGCACCCGGCCCAAAAATAGACCGGACCCTGCCAAACAGTAGAGCAGACCCCGCCGTACAGTATACCAGACCACCCAGAAGTAAACAAAACCTTGGCAACCAGTGGACCAGACCCTGCCGATCATAAACCAGACCCTGCCGATCGCAACATCCTGCCTAAAATTGAGCCAGACCCTGCCAAAAAGCAGACCAGACTCTGCCAACAAGTAGACCAGACCACTCAATAGTAGACCAGACCCTGCCGAACAGTAGACCAGACCCCACCGAAAAGTAGACCAGACCACCCATGAGGAAACCAAGCCCTGCCAAAAAGTAGACCCAGCCCTGCGTGCAAGCACACCAGCTTCTGCAAAACAGTAGACCAGACCCTGCCTAAGATTAGGCCAGACCCTGCCAAAAAGTAGACCATACCTTGCAACAAGTAGACCAGACCACACAATAGGTGACCCTACCCTGCCAAGAAGTACGGCGGGCTCCGCCGACAAGTAGACCAGACCACCATCACAAAGAACCCAGACACACGCGCATACTTGGCAGACAGCACAAGCCATGCCCCAAAGCAGACGGCACTTCTTATATTGGGCCCCAAGAGACACGTTTGTCTCTCTCTGCGATCGCGCGTGGCCACGCAGGCTCAAGCGCTGATTTATTCAGCGCGGGGTCTGCGAACGGCAGCCAGGACGCGCTGCGTGGCGGGGGGCCTCGCAGCCTCTGGCGCGATGGTGCTCAAATGCAAGACGTGCAAGCAGCGCGCCAGAGACCATTATGGGAGCTGCAAGAACTCGCAGTGCGTGCAGTGCCGCGCGCCTCGGCCAGGGCAGCACTGGAAAGTGGCCAGGGTGAACGATGTGCTGGGCAAGCCGGCGGAGAAAATAGGCGCATACGTCGCCGGCGGTTTCGCCCTCACTTTGCTTCACAGACATGATATACGCGTCGGCGTAGCGAGCGGCCAGTATCTTCGGGCCGCAGCCTCTGGCGCGACTGCAGTGCGCTTGGAGCTTTTAGCGGTGGTCTATCTGTGCTACTGGCGATGGTCGGCGAGCTCACTTCTTGGACACTTGTCAAAGGCATTATCCCGCTTTGAGCGCGCGGTCTCCGCAGACAGAGCTGAGATCTTAAAGGGCGCGTGGTCTTCGATGGAGGCGGACATGGGCGGTCTTCAGGTCGTCGGAAATCGTGCGGAGCACGATGTTCAGTTAGTATCCCGCAAGCACAGGAAAATATGCAAATCTCAGCCCCTGGCGAGACTTTTGCGCATCACCCATACATGATCCCCGCTAGTCGCCGCACTGGTGAACAAGAGTTCCAGACTCTCTTGCCTGACGTGCAGAATGGCAAACTCCGGGAAGCTTGCGTAGAGCTCGCAAAGCTGTTCGGCTCGAAGCCCACGTTCAGGGACGCCGATCGCGCCCTGCGAGAGCACGAGATAAAGCTTTGGGCCGGCGGCGCCACATACAATCGAGTCTGGCGGTTTGGGCGCCGAAAGCATCCCACGCGGGGCATCGCGATTGCGGCCCTTGGGATGGGCATTGGGGTCCTCTTCGACGAAAGCGTAAAGGGGAATCCAGCCGTGGCGACGAGAGCGCCCCAGGAGGCCCCAAAAAGAGCGAAACGTCGCCCTTTCCCCGTCGCCTAGCTCGCTCGGCCGCCGGTCCGCACCAGGGTCGGGGCGAGCGGGGTCGGCCTTCCGACGAGCCAGGGGGCGTCGTCGTCGTCGTCGTCATGGTCGTCGGGGACGTCGTCGTCGTCGTCGTCGTCGTCGTCGTCGTCGCCGCCGCCGCCGCCGCCGCCGCCGCCGCCGCCGTCGTCGTCGTCGTCGTCGTCGTCGTCGTCGTCGTCGTCGTCGTCGTCGCCGTCGGCGCCGCCTCCTGCCTGG